ACTCTATTTTGGTTATTAATAACATGAAGCACACATTCCAGCTTGGCTTTATGAGGGGTTCACTCAATCCAGCCAAGAGACCTGACAAAATAAATACTTTCCATCTACTTTCTACCCACCGGTCACTCCTTTCAGACTTGGGTGAGATACAATAGTACTTACTACCTTTCCAGCTTAAAACACAGCACACTGAAAACCCTTCTAGATGTGAAGACAGACTATTTTTAAATACTGTGTTTCTTGTGATCACTATTTACAGTGCTGCTCAGAGGCATAAAGTGTGAGAAAGCTCCCTGGTCTGTAAGAATGGACACTTTCATCCTTGTGAAGGTATCAGTGAACTGAAGGGCAAAACGTAATGATTTGGTGCAATGATTTGACACAGATTCCGCAGTTAAACCTGCTTAACTTATATTGTGAGAAAAACTAGATAAACACAAGGATGAGTCTTTAAGTCATAATAGATGGAAATCTAAAAGCATCCCAGGTCCACGACTGATGCTCAATGTGTATAGGGAGAAGAAACAGAAATGATTCCTGTTAGGCAGCCAGGAACTCTAATGATTTATTTATTGAGACAAGGTCTCACTCTGTTTCCCAGGCTGGAGTACTATGGCACAATCATGGCTTACTGCAGCCTCGACTTGCCGGGCTCAGGTGATCCTCCCACCTCAGCCTCCCAAGTAGCTGGGACTACAGGCATGTGCAACCACACCCATCTAATTTTTGTACTTTTTTGTACAAAAGGGTTTTGCCACATTGTCCAGGCTGGCCTCAAACTCCTGGACTCAAGCAATCCATCCGCCTTGGCCTCCCAAACTGCTGGGATTACCAGCATGAGCCACCACACCTGGCCATCTAACGCTTTTTGACTACTAAAATTCTGGAAAGTGTTGGATATGGTTTGGATTTATGTCCCTGCCCTAATTTCATGTTGAATTGTAATCCCCAATGTTGGAGGAGGGGCATGGTGGGGGCAGATTTCCCCCTTGCTGTTCTTGTGATTGTGAGTTAGTTCTCATGAGATCTGTTTGTTTGGTTTTTTGTTTTTGTTTTTGTTTTTGTTTTGAGACAGAGTCATGCTCTGTCGCCTAGGCTGGAATGCAGTGGTGTGATCTCGGCTCAGTGCAACCTCCGCCTCCAGGGTTCAAGAGATTCTCCTGCCTCAGCCTCCCTAGTAGCTGGGACCACAGGTGCACACTACCACGCCTGGCTAATTTTTGTATTTTTAGAAGAGATGGGGTTTCACCATGTTGGCCAGGCTTGTCTTGAACTCCTGACCTCAGGTGATCCAGCCACCTTGGCCTCCCAAAGTGCTGGGATTACAGGTGTGAGTCACTGCTCCAGGCCAAGATACGGGTGTTTAAAAGTGTGTAGCATCCCTCCCTTTACTCTCTCTTCCTCCTGCTCCAGCCATATAGGACATGCCTGCTTCCCCTTCTTCTTCTGCCATGATTTTAAGTTTCCTGAAGCTTCCCAAGCCATGCTTCCTATACAGCCTGTGGAACTGTGCATCAATTAAACCTCTTTTCTTTATAAATTGCTCAGTCTCAGGTGGTTCTTTATAGGGAGAATGGACTAATACAGCATTCAACATAAAGCACGTGTTTAAAAGAGACTGGAGCCTATTATAAACCAAGACCTCCTTAAAGGGCCTGTAGACTATTTAGATGAGAGTGTACAGTCAGTCCAACCTTGCTTTGACTGCCAGCTCTACCACTTTGGTGGTTGGAAAGCTCCTCTTTAAGGAAACTGATGTCTCCTCCCCTGTAAAATGGGAATCATGATATAAACTTAGAGTGTTGTTGATAAGATTAAATGAGATAATGGGTATATGATGCCCAGCTCATAGCAGGTGCCTAATAAAGAGTAGCTTTTTAAATTGTTATAAAATTATCTTAAATGCACACACATGTGTGTATGTGCAAACACATTCACACAAACACACACATGCACACACGTATCTCATTTCACAGAGAAATCTTTGAGGTCAAAACAGGGCACAGGTCTTAATGGCAGCATCAGAATTAGGACCTCCACGCTCCCCGATCCTGTCCTTCATTCAGGTCTCTGAGCTCTCTCATAAAGAAGAGAGTTAAAGAATGGGAAATACAGAAATGTTGAACTAATCAACAAATGCATGGATAAGCTCACATAGGTTGTGACATCACCAGTGTTCTACAATTTACGTTGATATCTTGTTCTAAAAACATTTATCTATTGGGCAATAATTAGAGGCAAAGCAAAGCATAGGTCACACGTGGAGGTAAAGATAAGACAATGCATTCCTTTTCTTCAAGATCTTATGGCCTAAAGAAGGAAAACTCACGCACGATACTAGATTCACTTCAGATCACCTATCAGGTTATTATTACATGTCTTACAACTAATTAAAAAGGATCCTACCCCATATCACAACAATGTGTATAAGTGTAATTATACTCCTACTTAAAACTACTCCAGAATTGTTTCTTCCATTCTCTAGAGCATGCTAGGCTTTAAATCTGGCACTGATTAGTACAAAAATCTCATCACTGCCAATGTGGTAGCATTTTCCCATGAAAGAAAAAAAGGGATGGGCGTGGTGACTCACACCTGTAATCCCAGCACTTTAGGAGGCCAAGGCAGGCAGATCACTTGAGCCTAGGAATTCAAGACCAGCCTGGGCAACATAGTAAAATCCTGTCTCTACAAACAAAATACAAAAATTAGCCAGGCATGGTGGCACATGCCTGTAGTCCCAGCTACTCGGGAGACTGAGGCGGAAGGATCAGTTGAGACATCGATCAGGAAGTTGAACCTGCAATGGGCCATGATCACACCACTGCACTCCAGCCTAAGTGACAGAATGAGACTCTGTCTCAAAAAAGAAAAAGAAAAAAAAAGACAAAGCCATTCGGAGAACTGACTCCCTATGCAACAGTTCTATGAAATGCTACCCTTGGATTTTTAACATTTTATTTTTTTGAGAAGAATTATAGGGCATAGTTATGAAATCATATTTACTCCCAGGAAGGGAAGAATTTGTATTTCTACTTATTTAAGAGTCAAGTCATTATTAAAACTAACTGACAAGAATGTGATTGCTATGAAGGTGCTAGATCATAAGTAGCATCAGAATTCCCCTACTCTGCTGGTATGGTAGGAAATAAATAAATACTAAAACAGCGCAGACTGGTGAATCCTACACTATCTTGGATTGTTGCAGCCACTAGAATTTAATGTGCATCATCCCAGAGCCAGAAGGAATGGTAAAAACTGTCTTTTCCACCCTCCACCTTCCAAACTTTAGAGCCCCCAGAAAGATGAGACTCTCCCTCACCTCCATAAATGTCACTGCCTTCCACTAAAACCCACTCTTTGTAGGTCAGCAGGGTGTCTGGGATAGAAAGTGGAACTTCAGCCTCAGAGGCAGCCTTCCTCCTTCACGTCCAAGGTGAAGCCCTCCAACAGGGCTCTCCACCATTTCCCTTTCGTCCTCATGGGAACTGCTTTTCTCTTTGGCTTCCCAGACTTCTCAACCGTCCTGATCCAGTACCTCGCACCGCAGCCCTGTAGATGACTCTCTGGCTTTCCTATAGCTCCTCACTGCCACAGGCCACCCCTGTAAAGCCCATACCCGTTGCCCAGAAGTGTTGCCTTGCTTCTTTAGGCTGCAGTTCAAGTTCTCTGCTTCCATTTTCCTATGAATCTTTTTTCCTTAATATCCAGGGTATGTAAAGGCCTTAGTACCGTGCCTGATACACAGTAAGTATTCAAAAACGGCAAACCTGATGATTACTACTACTGTGATCCATATTATTTCATCCCCATAAATCCACTATAACAGCTGTCTCAGGCCGCTGACAGCCTCTTCACCCACACACCTGGTGGCCTCTTCTCTACCTCATCTTCATGGACCTTGGACAGGTTAATATATCCCTGCTTATTCTAAATCTGCATATTTAAAATTCTTTCCTTCTTTGGGTTCTATCCCAGCATTCCACAGAGAGTTCAGAACCAAGGAGTTAATCAGCACACACAGGTGGACTTGAACTTGAAAATCCAAAGTCCATTGCCCTGCTGCCACCTCTGACCACTCATCCAAGACAAGATGCAGAACACAGACCCTCCTTCCCCCACACTGTCACATGCCTCACTATCGCTTCTTGGAGGTCTCAGCTCACATGTCACCTCCCCGGAGAGAACTTCCATGACCACCAGGAGCCTCTCAACTGAAAGCAAGACTTGAGACCCAGAAGATAAAACCAACACTGCCATCCACCCCACCAGTTGGTCTAAGGTCGACTCACCCCCTGCTCACCTGGATCAATGTCTCCAGCTCCTGGGGACTCACACAGACATGATCCCGCAGGAATTCTGCCTTCTCCAAGGCAATGGTATTCTTCTGGCTGCTCTCAAAGGGCTGCTCCAATGCCCGGAAGACAAGACCGCCAGTGACGAGGTAGACCACCACAACCACAAAGATGGCAACCACCGTCTTCCACTTCATGACGGTCTGCAAGCCCCCCTGGGAGGTGCCTTCCATCCTGGCTACCACTGTGGCTCGGGAGGAAATGGACAGGCGCGGAGTTGGAGTTGGAGCCGGAGCCGGGGGTTGCCCGTTAGTGGCACTCTTGGGCTGGCACACCGGTGCTGCTGCGGGAACGGCCACTGAGGAGTCAGGGTGGGGGATAAAGAAGAAGAGAGTTTGTTTATAAACAAATACAAAACGTGTCAGAAACAAAGCACCGATGTCTTCTTTGAGCCAGCTTTCAAATGTGAGGATGAAACACTGGGTCACCAAGCCTGTGGTTAGGAAATGTGATCCGTTGCTAGGTACCCATTTGAGTTCTAAAAGATAAGCACCAGGAGTCCCAGTTAAAAAAATAATAATAAAGTATAAACTGAGTTTGAAATGCTTACATTTTTCTACACGGGTCCAAATTGAAAGCTGTCTCTCTGTCATTTGTAATTCACCTCCTCCCTTAGCTTCCTTGTTGAAACAATGTGTAAGAAACACAACAAATCACCAGATTTAAAAACAAACATGTTGTTGAACTTGGAGAGGAAGTAAATAGGAGAGGGCTACCCAACTACTCTATCTAAGTACCAAGGGATGGTGATACCAAGAGCAGAGAAGAGATGAACATCTAGAGACTTAAAAAGTCCTCTTGTCACAAAACAAAGGAAAAAAGGATGAGCTTGTTATATCTTAATAGAAGATGTGACTTAGGCATAATCACTCCTGATCTACTAGTAATAGAATTTTTCTTCTATTGTTTTCCAATAAGATGTCATTGGAAAGAAAATGTTTCCTGGTTTTTGAAGCACATAGAATTCTCTAAGGTCCCTGTTCTCAGTAGGGTAATTTCATTACTTTGGAAATAAATAGGGTCAGCTGGAGGCTTTTCTGCGATGGCAGGAAGTTTGGGGTTGTGACGCACACGAAATGCTATCAGGCGTCACAGAAATGTCTTGTGCAACAATGAACGGCCATCGTACTTCGGTGTTTTTCTCCCTTTATTATTCCAATTCTTATTATAGTCCTTGTCATGGTGCAGGCTGGCTGTTGTGTAAAGAAGGTATTAGGAGATGATAAACCTAATTACCTAAGTGGGTAAAGAGTTCCACTCCAGCGGGGAGTTGAACTGATCAATCACTGTTGGAAAAGTCAAAATGCAGGCCATGTTACTCCCCGTTCAAACCACCTGGCTGTAAGGGTGGTGGCTTAGAATCTAAGTTTGTAAACATCTGCCTCTCCTCCTAGGCCCTCAGAATCAGTTTCTCTCTTTGGACACCGAGTTGAACGTCCATCTTTTATGGCGTATGATCCAATCCAATAAAATCACTCCATGTTAAATTTCCCTCAGATTTACGCAAACACAAAATTGTCTGGAATCTTGATTGAAAGAGCTATACGTTAGAATCAACAACCTGGGCATTATGTTCTTGCTAACCTTTCCCTAAAGACGCTGCATTCACTTTCCCCCTTGCTCCTGTTGATGCCGAGAAGGTGAGCGTTGCCTTGGGTGGCTTTCTTTTACCACTGCCCACATCTCCATTCATTCTGCCTCCTCACTGTATTTCATCCTTTGGGTCTTCCCCCATCCCTGTGGCCAGCAGCCTCATCCTGCCCACCGTCACATCTTGCCTGGACCAGCCCAGCAGCCTCCCAAGGGGCCTCCTTGCTTCCATGTGTATCTCGTTTCTGACCCAGAAATCTCAGATTAAATATCACTTCCGGGAGCACCTTCTCTCTTCCTGCCTTGGAGGCAGGTAGAATAATGGCCCACAAAGAGGTCCACATCCTAATCCCCAAGACATAGATGGATGTTATCTTACAAGGCAAAAGGGACTTTGCAGATGTGATTAAGAATGTTGAGATGGGGGATGACCTTGGATTACATGGTTGGGCTCAATATAATGACAAGAGTTCTTATAAGAAGGAAGCAGGAGGACACGAGAGAGAGGGGATATGAGGACAGAAGCACAGGTTGGAGTGATGCAGCCTTGAGTCCAGAAATGTGGTCCTTCTAGAAGCTGGAAAAGGCAAGGGAAGGATCCTCCCCTAGAGCCTCCTGAAGGAACCTGTACTGCTTACCCTTTGATTTTGGCCAAGTGAGGCTGATTTTGAACTTCTGACTTCCAGAACCATACAATCATAAATTAGTGTTGCTTTAAGCCACTATATGTGTGGCAATTTGCTATGGAAGCCCCAGGAAACTAATCTGCCCTCCATTAGTTCAGGTGTCCTGATATGGTTTGGCTGTGTCCCCACCCAAATCGCACCTTAAATTATATTCCCATAATCCCTACATGTGGGGGGAGTGACCCAGTAGGAGGTAATTGAAGCATGGGGGCAGGCTTTTCCCCATGCTGTTCTCATGATAGTGAATAAGTCTCACAAGATCTGATGGTTTTATAAAGGTGAGTTCCCTTGCACATGCTCTCTTGCCTGCTGCCATGTAAAATGTGACTTTGCTCCTCATTTACCCTCCACCATGATTGTGAGGCTTCCCCAGCCATATGAACTGTGAGTCCATTAAACCTCTTTCCTTTATAAATTATCCAGTCTTGGGTATGTCTTTATTATCAGCAGGAGAACACACTAATACTTCTCCCTTGCCCAGCACTCACTGTGCTGTGCTAATAGAGCCTGTACCCTTGTCCAGCACTCCCATTAGACAGAAAGCTCCATGAGGGCAGGCACCCTGTCTACCCCTCACCTCTGCATCCCTAGTGTTTTGCACAGTGCCTGGCACATGGTGCGTAGACAATCAATGATGGTGGAATAAGTGAATGAAGGGTGGAAGGAATGCTGGCACATCCAAACCACACAGACAACGTGGATGAGCAGCGTCAAATGGCAAACAGTTTGGCACTCCAGCAATACTGAAAGCAGGTCCTCAAACACAGCAGTGCTCCGCTCACACCTCCACACCTTTGCAGGTGTTGTCCTCTCAGCCAGTTACCCCTTCCCCACCCTCATCTGCCTGGAAAACTCCCATCCTCTTCAGTCTCAGCCAAAAGCCACCTCCTCTATGAAGTCGTCCTGGGCTCTTCCAGGCAGGCTCAGCGTGCCGGTCTTACCCACTAGCCTACCGGCTTCTTGGAGTCAGAAAGTTCATCTTTTAATCATTGGATCTCAATTTCTTGGCATAGTGCCTGGCATAGAGCAAATGTTGTTTTCTGGTGGTGGTGATAATTCCTTCACACAAAAACCCCATCGGAATCACCAGCACTCTCAAAAACAAACATTCATGCGGCCGGATGTGGTGACTCACGCCTGTAATCCCAGCACTTCGGGAGGCCAAGGTGGGCGGATCACGAGGTCAGGAGATCAAGACCATCCTGGCTAACACGGTGAAACCCTGTTTCTACTAAAAATACAAAAAATTAGCTGGGCGTGGTGGGGGGCGCCTGTAGTCCCAGCTACTCGGAAGCTGAGGCAGGAGAATGGCGTGAACCTGGGAGGCGGAGCTTGCAGTGAGCTGAGGTCGCGCCACTGCACTCCAGCCTGGGCGACAAGTAAGACTCTGTCTCAAAAACAAGCAAACAAACAAATAAATAAATACATTTATTTAATGCTGAATGGGCACAAAGGGGTGTGGTATGGTTGGGATAAGGCACAGTCCTTCCCAGCCTCAGGGGCTTGCCAGTCAGCTTAAGGAATGTGCTCCACAGCACCAGGTAACCAACATTAGCCGAAAGCTTCATCAGCCGATATGCAATGGCATAAGCATGGAGGTGAGTGGAGGCTGGTCTCCTCCACTGGCCTGCATCATGGATGCTTCCCAAGCTTCTAGCATCCCTGAAGCTGGGCAGAATTGGGGTTGAGAAAGGTCTCTTCAGGCCAGGTCCTGGTGCCAGTTTGCTAAAAGACTGTTCATGAGGGCAGAGTCTGAACAGAATCCACCCATTCCTGAGCTTCCAAAACATCAGAGCAAAAACCAGAGTTTTAGTCCCAAACTCATCAGTGACTGCATGACCTCGAAACTGTCACTTAGTTTCTCTGTTTGCTTACTGTGACATGTGAATAATAGCAACCACCTTTTTTTCTAAACATCCACAGGGTTCTCAGGAAAGCAAATGAGGAGCCCTGGTCTACTGGCTGGAGTATATTTGTAGATATCAAGAGTACAGGCAGAGATCTCAGAATATTACAAAACCTTTTGTGCATTTCACTAAAGATCGAGTTGGTTGTTTTGGCAAAGAAGACTGCACATCTCAATGGCTAGAAACGGATCTAGATTGTGCTTAAGTTGGATAAATTTTTTTCTTTTCCTTCCTTTTTTTTGTTTTTTGAGATGGAGTCTTGCTCTGTCACCCAGGCTGGAGTGCAGTGGTGGCATGATCTCGGCTCATTGCAACCTCCACCTCCCAGGTTCAAGCTACTCTCGTGCCTCAGCCTCTCAAGTAGCTGGGACTACAGGTGTGCACCACCATGCCCAGCTGATTTTTGTATTTTTAGTAGAGACGGGGTTTCATCATGCTGGCCAGGCTGATCTTGAACTCCTGACCTCAAGTGATCTGCCTGCCTCAGCCTCCCAAAGTGCTGGGATTACAGATGTGAGCCACTGCACCCAGCGAAGTTGGATAAATTTTTAAATGGTATTTTCATTAATCCATTTCTTCTCCTTAGAAGCCATAGTTGTTCTCACCCTAATACGAAGTTGTCTTGTGACCTGGAATGAACCACTGGAGGTCTCTGTGCCTGGAACCAACAAAGAAGCAAATTTGGCCAGATGGTGATGAGGATGGTGATGAGGATGGTGGTGAAGGTGACAGGAGCCCTGATGGCCTACTGGGCACTTACTCATGCTGTCACTCTGACAAACATTCCGCTTCCATCACTGCATTCGGTCCTCACTACAAGGAATTATCACATTGCATGAGTCCAGCTAGGTCCCCCCAGAAGCAGATGCCAAGAAGGGATTAAATGTGCATGAATTTGATTAGGGGGAATGCATGTGTGAGAGAAAATGAGAGGGAGTTGGGGAGGCTAGAGCAGCCACTAGATTCTATGTAAGTCTGACCCCTGGAAAAAGAAGGAAAGAAGGAAGGAGGAGGTAAGCATCTTCCAGCCTAAGCAAGTTTAGCAAGCCCATCAAGGAGTTCTCAAGCTGAAGTCAGCTGTCTGAGGAGTCCTGCGTCTCCCAGAAACAATCGTA